GCCCGTGGCCCCACCCAAGCCCTAGGCCAACCAGACTTGACCCCAACGAACGACTCTCCAGTCATAAGTTGATGAGGTGCGGAGATTCCAGTTGGCACCAACGAGAGATCCATCCCAGCGGATACCATCTCATGGCCTGTGCTGGAAGTTGGGTTCTTAGAATATATGTTCGACCTTGACACAGCCTGACATGTTAAGTTGACAACTGCATTTACCTCGATATCAAGATCTGATGTGTGTTTTGGCATTTTGAGGTCTTCACTAAGTCCCAGTTGGCCGAGCAAAGCACACCAGTCAGTGCTGGCCTAAGAGTGGTGGGTCGACTAATTCCAATCTGTGTGTTTTTTTGTCAATTCAATAGTTCATCAAACACCCTTTGTGCCAACTTGTGGAATCTAGTCACTAGTCTAGTGGATGCATTGTGCTTTGCCAGGTTGTTTTCGCCCTTATACTCAGGTCAAAGTTGACATGCTGCTTCCAATTGTAGATCTAGGGCTTGTCGGTTTGTTTGCTGATTTGTGCACCGTCCTCATTTGCCAGGCCTTGCTATCTCAGATACATCCTCATCTGTCTCGGCCATTGATTTTGTGGATGACGCGCCTTGATCGAAAAAGTTTTGTGAGCTTTTTGTAAACCGCCAATACAATCTATATACTGTAGTCAAAGTGTAAAACCAGTTCAGTCCACTTCACTCCATGTTGCCCATGAACAGTGCAAGCTATGATGCAATATATGGTTATATAATGAATATTATCAAGACCATCAAGAGAAGGAACTTGATGAACACGTTAGCAAATCACCCCAGGCTACTGCACGGCCTGATCCGTTTTGGTCTCTACATGCCTCTACTGCCCCTTACAAATAAGATCAAACAGAATCTGTCAAAAGGGGTTAACTTGGATCTCAAGGATTTGTTGAATCCTCCTAATGGCGATGGCCTCCAACCTACTGGCGATGGCCTCCTACCTGCTAGCGATATGGAAGACATACCTTTTGGATCAATGTTTCATGCCAAGGATTTGGACCTCACAGATCTTGGAGGCCAAGTCTCGTGGGTAGCTCCTGCGGACCGGGCACAAGTGTCACAATACGTGGTCTACCTAGCGGAGGCCTGTCAGGACCGGGAATACGTGCAGTTCTACTGTACTGTTCAGTTCCGTTCTTTTGCGAGAGGAGAGCGTCACCAAGTCACCTGGGCACACCAGTTTTGGTTGTTCCGAATCGTGCCTAATCATGGGCCTAATCTCCCATATCAGCTGCAGATTTCTTGCTGACTTTTCATGAATTGACGTCTGATGTCCGGTGCCAATTTCAACTGGCACCTGTACTGCAAACAAGAAAACAGCCACCTGAGCATGGAGCTGAATAATTGAAACATTTAAGTTAGAATTTATACAGGCTCACGCAGTTTGACTCGTGCTTTGGTGTATTCTCAGGACAGTGTGGTGGCGGAAGTCACAGGATCAATTTCTTTGAGCCTACCGGGTGCTACACAGGAGCAGGTCATCGCGGCTACTTGCCAAGAGCTTTGACCTGGGGTCAGTACAGAGAACAGATGGGAACAGGGTCGGTACGTACATTTGAGGGTTGGAGACATCTAACTAACGAGAGAAGCCATAAAGAACACGAGAGAAGCCATAGGTTGCTGGGATGAGACGGGCGGTAATTGCGGTAATTTCTGGGGTAATACTTACTTCATGAAAGCTGAAGACTGCAGGACTGATTTTCATTATTGTTATTGTAATTTTGCAAGACAAGTGCCAGTCAGTCATCATGTTCTTTGAAGGGGATGTAAAACTAAATCGTTCTTGCTTAAAAGGACTATCATTTACAGTAATCCTAGCTTCTTGTTTTTTTGTCAGTGAGGCTGTTAAGACCAGCTTAGCTGCGTCTCTTGGAGTCAGTTTTGTCCTCAGACTGGAAAGGCATGATGAAACTGCCATGTGACACAGAGTGATGGAATCGGTGTGCTTATAGTGTCAGAACTCAAAGTGGTAGAAGCTCTTTTATCACATTTTGACAGTGTCAAGTGCTTCGCAATGTGGAGCCGAGACCTCTTCACTGCAGTCAAACAAGGTGAGGCGACCATTGTTCTCACATCAATTACAGCTGGGCGCCGTTTGAGCACCACTTGGGACATCACCTACAGCCTTTCTGTGGCTTGGTCATGATTTTGCTTGGTCACTCAATCAACTGCAGGAAGTGCTTGCGGATCTTGGGGTTTAAGCAGTTAAACATAGTTCAACTGAGTTTTTGTTGTGCTGCGTCGGTTGAAGCTGGAGCAAGATTGGTGCCTTGTTCAATGCATGACACCTAAGGTCCCAGTTGCCCAGGCCTGCCTGAGTGTTCTGTTGTGTATGTCAACTTCTGAGGTGTTCCAATTCTTGTTCATGGTGACGTCAAGACTGGGTGAGTTTTTTTGTTCCCTTCACGGAAGACTTCTGCAGCTTCTGAAGCTTTTGGCTTCACGTTTGGCGTGTTTGGACGGCGAGGCTTCACAGTTGGTGTCGCAAACATCCGCCATTAGCGCTGATGCCAGTGCCTTCTTGTCAACGCTCAGGCAAGCTTAGTAGGTTTGTATATATGTATTTGTTTCTCTAGTTTGAGGGAGTTCCACCCCTCCCCTCAATTCAAGTCAGTCTTGGAAGCAATAAGAGCAAGCATACAAGAACGATTATTTTAGATAGTGTGTATCCTCTAATTTCCTATGTTGGTAGTTGAATACTATAGATAGCAACAAACCATTTACGTAAGGAACTAGATATTGCTTGAAGCTTTTCTCTGAAAAGAACAAGAGGGGCTTCCTATCCAAACTTGTTGGGTCGTCAGGCAGGAGCTGCTGGTTCAAGGCGTTGACAGTGTCTCTGCAGCACTTTGCTCTCCCTGCTCGACTGGTTCTTTTTTTGAGTTTTAGCAATGCCGGGCACACTGCCGGGCACATTTAACAGTTAACATTCATGGCCTGTGGACCCCCAAGACCCGCAGAGTTTCCGAACGGTCCATGGTTCGAGTCTTTGGCACAGCTTCAATTTACATCATTACATTTCATTACCCATTCTCTGTTGAAATATGTTGCAATGGTAATGAAGTAAATTGGTCCATTTCTTTTGCTACTGAGGTGTCTCGGTGAATTCCATGGTCCTTCTGTCTTTCCCCACTGCTACTGTGAGAGTTGTGATTGTGGACTCGCCAAGGCCTCAGAAGATCAGCTATTGAGGGCCACGGTGTTCAAATGTGTTCAGTGTGGAGGGAAGGTGTTTTTTTGCTTCGCCATGCTTTGCCTTCCGCAACGCAAGGTCTAACACCACTGATGACAGTGATCCTTTGCCAGGCCTCTTCCGCTACAAAAGTACAGATCCAAAGGAGACAGCTTTCAACGCAGCCTGAATTCAGCAAGTGTGGTTGAACAGAATTGCACAAACCAACACTGCTTGCACATCCATGCGATCCTCTGCAGGCTGCATACTTCACAGCTCCCAATGAAAACAGATGAACAAAGAGTGACTGTTAGGAGACCTTGGATCTTATTTCTTTGTAGCCCTACGGTAGCCAATCTACGGGCGTTACAGTAACATAAAGCCTTGAGACCAGACGCAGACCGGGAGCCACGAGCCACGGCCGCACCGACCTGGCAGATGGCAACACCTCCGACGGTGTACGACGCTTGGATCGACGCTTGTCCACATCCCCTGGAGCAGTGCCGCTGTGGATTTGCACCGCAAACCTCTTGGACAATGCCACGGTGGGGAGAATGGGAAGAGAAAGGAGAAGAGAAACAACGAAGCAGAAGAGACTAAGGGGGACACAAGACGCCGCAAGAGACTCAACGAGACCTGAGGGCCCTTTTTTGTGAGACAACTAGTGGGGTTCATAAACTGGCCACTTGAGGGTAAACATTGGTTGCAGGTCAATGAGACTGTCCTGGACATTCCGGCAGACACTGCATTACGCAGCTTGGCTGAACTTCCGCTGTAGCTAGAGACTAGAGAAGAGTTTACGAGGAATCGATGCGAAGTTTGAGCTTTGAGAGGGACATGGCCAATCCAAGAGCTCCGCAAGGAAGATGAACGAAGCCATTCAAACATTTGAGTATGTTGTCACTGAAGCTGAGAGCTGATGAAGTCTACGTGGTTGAAAAGCTTTGGTGTTTTATGAATAGGACACGGGACCAATCATGGCCGCAGCTGTGGAGGTGATACATGTGGCCACTTTATTGCCATTACTGTACTGATTCGCAGATTGACCCGACCCGGTGCTGAGAAAACTTCACCCACCTCCTCATATACACCAGCTCATCATTGGCTGAGCAGACAACGCCTGAGGCGCCTTTTGATTGTGAAACATAGCGATAGAGTCTACAAACCCAGAGTGAACTGAATAGTACTCTCCAAAATCCACAAGGCACTCAACCAGTGTGAGGGATGACGCAAGATGAAGTTGGAACTTGTAGCGATCTATAATGCCACTAGCTCAATCCCTTTTTTGCAGACCTGCCTCAAAAGCACTTCTTTGGCAGGCGCATCTCATCCTTGATGCCTTTGCTTCCGCATCAGGCAAGTTCGGTCTCCTTGAGCAGTTCAAAAACATGCAGACAAACCATAAAGAGCTTTCTTTCACTTTGCAGAACTGAGAAGTTCTCAAAGGGGACATAGTTTGGAAACGCTTGCAAATTGCAGTCAGTTTTCAAGACTGCAGTGACATTGTTCTTTGAGGCCTTGCCTTCCAAGACCTGGACTTAGATCTTGGAGAGTTTGGAGGCGAGGGGATGGGGCAAGCATGCCAAGACTGGATCTTTGGTCGTTGCTGTTTTGCATTGGAGAGTCCTGGTGGCAACGTAGAAAATGGTATCATGAGATGGCACCAGTTATATAGAATGGAAGATAAGCAGATGATGCAAAATATAGGTTCGTATAAGTATGCAAGAAGATAGATTTCAAAACGCAACTTGGGAGGCACAGCCACATGGGTGGAGCCGCAGACCTCTCAGCGGTTGATGGCCTATGCTATTTATTTGGCGGCCACAGAGACAGGAGACCTTTACAGTTGGATGAGCATTCATTCCTCCATTTAAACCACGCATTCCTCTCTCCTGGCAACACATAGGGCTCACCGGAAAGACGTTCAGTTGCAGGGGAGGTGGTTCCATGTCAATGTGCCGTGGTTGGCTTCCAGGAGATCAAAGATCACGGATTGGCTACGGCCTTACCTGACATTCAGGAAAAGAAACACAGTAGTGTGTAGTGTTGTTTGTTTGATGGACAGCCTTCATGCTCACAATTTGGAGGGATAGTTTGTGATCGTCCCTTTTGATTTTTTTGTTGCGATGACAATTCTGATAGCTTTTGTCCCTTTTCTCACACATTCCGTGGTGAGTTTTTGTGTGTGTGTGTGCGCCTCCTCTCAAGGCTACGATGTCCTGAGAAACACATCCACTCAATTTCTGCCTGCTGAGACGCCTGTGCTGCTTGGAGCATACAATGCAAATAGCTTGGCTTGGTGCATGCTGTGATGAACAAGCTGTATCCTAGAGTGATGCAAAGGTCGTGATACTGTTTCCGGCACACATCTATGCCAATGTATAACGGTAATTTAAGATATTTAAGTTCAAGCCAGTTGCTGTTACCATGAGATCCGGTGAGCACAATCCTGGATGTTCACAGGTCCCACACAAAAGAGCTTTACCCAATTATTAGTGCAAGCGCTTCTTCAAGGAAGCTCCTCCCCGCCTGAGGGCGGGGGGGAGCTTCCTTGTGAGCTATCCTGCGTCCATGTGTAGTAGTTAAGTAGCTAGTTTAGTAGTGTACTCCCTTAATTATAGTTAAGTACGTGCCTACTACTTCATTAAGTAGGAGCTGGCTTTAACAAATCCCATAAATAGCACTGGTCCATATTTCCATATTCCTGTCACTTAGTTGGGTTGTCAGATGTGAGGTCTACCCACCAATACCTGCTGATTTACACGCGGTCCGTGCTGGCAGAGCAAACTACCCCGGTTGGGTTACCTTTGTCAGATGCCTTTGCAGCGGCTGGGGTCTCAGTTCCTGTTTTACTTGAAGATTTGTTGCGTTGAGAAATCCAAGATTTTTGCAAGTGGTGCTGTATGATGAGGTCTCCAACGTGACAATGCCTGACTTCGACCTAGACTTCAATGACTTAGGAGGTGTTTGGTTCCATCGTTCGTGCATTCAGGTTTGATGGTGGGACAAGCTAGAAGGGTAGAATCCATAGCACAAAGCCTTTCTGTAACGTGCGATCTCCGTGGTCAAGTGTGATATATAGTAGCACTACGCACGGGCCTTATTTGGAGTGTGTAAACTCTTGACTAGTACTTTCGCAGTACAGTCCTGTGAAATCTGCGGGATGTGCTCAAGTGTGATTGGGACCAAAGCGCTGATCCGTGAGGCTTATTGTCGTGGTCACCTGCCTCAGACGAAGACTTGGTGGAAGACTATTTGGTTTACTTCGGAGCCCCTGCAACTTGACGTATGAGGGGCATTTCTACCCTAGTACTAATAAGGTTGGTAGTCGATATGTGGAAGGATGGTTGTGGTTACTTGATTGTAAGGAAGCACTCATGATTCATGATGTATGAGTATGCAACTCAACAAACCGGTGATGACAAGAGCAGCAATTCTGTATCGCATGCTATCATCCAAAACATCACATTCAATGGACGTTTTGCTGCAAGGCGGTCTTGATAAACGGACACTGGATGTGCGCGTCCATGGAGGATGCTTGTGCTGGGCCACCAGATACCGTTGGACTCATTTCTTGACTACTTACCAGATACATTCTGCCTCATTTTGATACTGCTACACATCCAAAATACACTGAAGGCCGTACAGTCAGGTTGCTTCCGGCAGAAGATTTCTTTTTAATTGAAGTGAGCAGTGAGCACCAAGTCACATCCCATGACGGTAGTTTCATCCCAAGTGCATCTCCGCAGGATGGCACCAACGACACCAGCGACGTGAACGGCACGGGGTGGTGTCCAACGCTTTACTTTGGAAGAGTTCCAGTTGGAACCGACGCTCAGCTTGCATCAGAGCGGCTTCTGAAGGCCATTGAAGGCCAAGCTAGGGTGCTAGGGTGCTTGACATCTTGCTGGAGCAGTCATCCGATGCCGATGGCATGTTTCGGGATATCTCAAGTAATTAGCCGTCCAATGTGATGCGATGCTTTGTGAGAGTCCAATCAGGGCTTACAGATGCTTACAGAGCCGTTGTTTCTGACAGGAAAACATTACTGTGCCTGTGGACACACACTTGGCAGATTCACATTTCTTGGTCTACACAAGGCCTGGGCAAGTGCGCAACAGGGGCATAAAAACGATATCGCTGTTGTCAACCAACACAATATTTTGAAACATGAAAAAGAATTCTCTCGATTACTGTAAGACCCATTGGATTAGATCATGACGTGTTTTTTGTCATCGCTGTTGACCTCCGACAAAGCCTCAGAGATGACGATTGGAGGTCAACACTTGTGGAACAGACTACGCCGGTCGCCCTGCTCATCGACGATGCAACCTGACCACATTCGGAAAACATAAGAGGGAGAGTTGTGTGCGAAAAGCAGACAGGAAAGCTTTTTGACGCACGGTCTACTAAACATCAATACTACAGCAGTATGGACCGAATGATCATGTTAGCAAGCGACCGCCCTACTGACTGTCATTCGCTGGCTGGAACTTCATTATTTTTGACGACAGTGCTAAGGGAATGAGTGTACATTCAAGTAGCTCAAGGGTCATTGGAGTTAGGTTGGTGCAAATGTGCGCAACATCAGCTTCGTTGGAAAGGACGGTATTTGAATGCAATTGAACTGATGGCTGATGACATACTGAACAACTTACGGATTTATTCTGAAATGATGGATTACAATTTAGTGTTCAATACGTTTGTCAATGAGCATACAAGTTTATATCATGTTGTGCCCCCTGAATGAACAAGTACCAAAGTTCAAGCTGCGGGAGGTGGAAAGGGTGTGAATTTCTTTTCGCTTCATGCCCTCTTCAACGTTCATGTGACCATGTGTTTGTTTTGTTTCACCGCTCTTGAACATCTTGAGTCCATACCTCCCTTCATGCCAGGACCTGGACATGCACGACCTTGGTGGCGTTTTGAGCTGGGAACCTCCCGAGACTTTGCGACGGGTCACCAGCACCTCGTTTGAATCAGGTCATCTCGACGCGGAGAATCGATAGAATCGGTTGAGAATCGTATCACGATTGCTACGTAACGACCTCGCTGTTGAGACGTAGTATTTGTACGGTAATTACACTACTGTACGAGTACCCGCTTAGAGCTGACAACGATTCTGGAATGATCCATAATGAATCCATATTACTCCACTCTTGCCTTGCCATTTGTGGCGTTGTCTTTCGTTTTATGCACGAGAATGCGTCCAGCCTCATCCTCATCCTATTCTATTCTTGGTCTGGAATCTGGACCCTAGACATTGCATGACGTTGCTGCATTTGTTCTTCCGAATAGGCCCTGCAGGCTGGAGACTTTTGATGCGTCATCTAAAGTTTAATCAGTTTAATCAGGAGAACAAACAATTGCAAAATTTCAACTTAATTCAGTACACTACTTTCCAACTTTTTGGACGCCGATGATGTGTTGCAACGAGCAATTTTCTTTGCATTCAGAATTGCCATTGTTCTCTGTTCCACGTGAAGACGCCAATGTGCCAGCTCTTTCGGGCTCCCTTGCCAATGTGCCAGCTCCCTTGCTCGGGCTTTGGGCTTTGCCATCCTGTTCAGGTTACTACGTCTATTTGGCTGAGGATGCAGCGGGAAGTGCACGGTCACAGATCCAGCCGATGCTAATGGCAGGCCAATGAGCCAATGACTTCCATTCAGCACAAATCATGGGAGACATAGTCTTGTCATGTCTTGTCAGATGTTGCTGAGTGAGTCCCTGTACGATTGTGTACGTGCTATTTTGAAATGCTGCTTGGATGGAAGGTTTGACAATTGCATAGAAGTCAGACGTGTGATTTCTTTGAAGATGTTGGTGTGGGGTGTTTAGCCACTGCACCAACAAGTGTTAGAGCCATCAATCAGTCCGACCATGTGGAGGTGACAATGACATCGACGTGCCAGCGGAGACGCCACGATTGAACTTCACCCACTTTGTGGTGTATACAGCCTCGATCCTGGCGGAGCAAACCACCCCGTCTTTTCGATGCTTGGTACAACTGGATCCTCCCACTTTGCTGATTTGTTTGAAGACTTCTTTGGATAACAGGGTAAACAGCAGGACGCTCGCCACAGCCCAGGAGCGATCCAAGATGAAGCCTCCCGAGCAGCCAATGTCAGTTTCATTGATGAGGATGTTTGATGTGTGCATGATGGCATCAAGACAAAATTGCAGGTGAAACAATTGCCAGATAATATATCCAGATATCATCAAGAATTGAATATCAACAAGTGTTTCAGCACAAAGACTCCCTGCATTTAGACGCCTCCAAGTAAACTATTCGGGATGTGGTTTCTTGAGAGGACCTGGATGAGTTCGAAGTGGGTGGCCCACTCACATGGTTGGAGCCAGAAGACTTCAGTGAAGTCACCGCTTACAATGTGGCTTGGATGTTCCATTCTTGTTGGACGATCTAGAATCTAGATGTGAGACTGCAGCATGTTCATGCATGTTGAAGATGAGCAGAAGACTCCGAAGACCATGTCATGTTGTTCCATGTTGTTCCATTACTGTTGAAATAGAGCGACTCGGGACGTTCAGTGTCCATATCAACTGAAGGAAACGTGTTGAAGCCACAGATGGAAAACTAGGTTGTCAGCACATGGTTCAGTCATGCTCACTTCAGAGTCGATCTGACATGCACACGCACACGCACACACACAGACTGCGAACATGTTTGATGTCTTTTGGACAAATAGATGGGACCTTGGGTGTAGTACTCTTGCCCTTGTGAAGTTTGAGATTCCTAGGTATACCTTGCAGAGAGCAGAGATGGTCAGAGCCTTTGTTGGTGTTGTGGAAGGATGTGGAAGGAGTGTAGCGGTGTGTAGCAGTCAAAACCAATGACTTGAACGCGAAGTAGCCACGAATTTTGGTCAAGTTCCAAACACTCCTTGAGGTGAAAATCGATCCTTGCTTGGGAACGTTTCAGTTGGTACCAACAGATTCGACACTTGGCGATGCACTCCGCACCTGGCGGGCTGCCAAAGGCCCCAGAGGCTGAAGGCGCAAGACCGATGTCATGAAAACATATGGAAACTGCAAACGGTTCGCTGCCAACAAGTGAGAAACGAAGAGTACAGGTGCAATTTCTTTGGTTTTATCTGAGGATGTGCCGGCTGATACCCAATTGGCGAGCTTTACTCACTTGGTGGTCTTTGCAGAGTCCAGTCTCGTCGAGCAAACCACACCGGCCGCAGTGCGTGCTTCAGCTGTGCAAACAGCTTCCAGGGTAGCGTTTTCTTTGAGGTTTCTTATGCAATGGATTCACTATCAGTTTGAAGCCCTGTTGCTTTTGTCGATCTTATGTCATGGAACTGTTTGAAGACGACTCAATGCAGTAACAGATGTGGTGTTGGGCCTGAAGCACCGGGCACCTGTACCTCTCCACCCAGATTGCAGTCCAGCCCCTAGTAGCGTTCTTGCTCCTAGTAGCGATGCCCTTTGCTCCTAGTAGCGATGCCCTTTGCCCTAGTAGCGAT